ATATAATAAATATATATAATACAATTTATTATATAATAAATATAGTTTTTTTTTAAATATGATGTCGCATTATATATTTGTGGATTGATAATGTTAATTAAATAACAACCGTATTTACATAAATCGCATTTAAGACCTATGTGAGCAATGTTTTGATATAAATTTATTAAAAATTATTGTCTCCGTTGTGCCTTTGAGCTTCGGCCATGCTACAGGCGGAATATCTAATAATACATCGACCGTTTATTGTGTTGTTTCGCGATTGCGTAATTTCGGAATTAATAATTGAGGACAAGCCGCGCCTCTCGTGAAAATAGAAAAGTAATCTGTGAAAGTAATCCGAGTACAATACAGAAAATACAAGCGAGCACGCGCAAATATGGTTTTAATTCATCCTAGATTGATAGTAATTGATTTGTAGTCAGCTGCATTTATCGTTTAACATATTTTAAAAATAAAAGACGTAAGATCCACGTAAGATATACAAAAAGAACATCAAGAGACACGGTAGTATCTCGCGCCAAGTCACGCGAAGCAACAGTGAGGCACTCCGGGTATCTATACGCGAGTCTGCCAGATTGCGAGTACCTTAGATTATCGGATCTCAATAACGGCTGAACCGATCGTATTTTTAATAGGGTTAATCGACAGCTTGGATTTGAATTATATAATAAAAGTATTTTTATTTTTTTTCTACATGTATAAAAAGTGACGCGCACGTATAAGAAGTAACTTTCTCTTAAATAATAATATACTTTATTTTATATCAAACTCTCTTTTTAATTAGACATATTTGCAGAATGTTTAATACTAAATTATCTAATATCTGTATCTAATATTATTATCTAATCTGTATTAGTATTTACCACACGTCTTATAGTGAAATGTCAAAACATGCTGATATCTCTTAGGAATTATTTTTGATTTTGTATAAATAACTTAAATTTAAATAATTGGATTTTATTCTTCTCAAAATGATTATTTTGTGAATAAATTTGAGTGAAAATAATAAAGAGATGTTTTAGATTTTAAGTTTTCACTATCAAGATCCGTTGTGAGCGTAGGATGTGTAGCAAGTGTCTTTGAAAATAGATCCGACATGATCTAGAATAGTTCCAGCTGGCCGAAATCCTGATTTTCGTGTGCATCTTTTCTTAACCGAATGCGACAACATGCACTTATGTGATCTGTCTATGTCATACAGGTGTGAATTTGCACCAACAAAAATTTTATGTGTTAATTCTATACATACTATATATAATTGAAATATATATTTTTTTTTCAAGCAATGCAATTTTCATATTCATAATAATTAATAAGCATTTTCTTTATTTTCTCTTTAATATATGCCTGATCGTTTTCTATCCTAAACATACTGGTAATTTTTTTATAAGTTTCACAATTTTAAAGTCAAAATTACAAACGATTATATAATCGTATAAAAGAGTATTTTTTTCAAAATGCACATTTGCGTCATGTGAGATTAATAAATAAAAGATGTGTAATAAGATAATATCCTTAATAGATGTATAATTAAATATCTAATTTAATAATTTAACTATTGATTTTTTTATTGTCTAATTCATTTAAAAATATAATCGCAATGGACATGGTATACATATATACACATACATACACACAAATACGCGTGCATACGTGTGTGTGTGCGCGCGCATTATAAAGTAAAGGAATATATCAATAACGTAAAAAAGAAGATTATTTTATAACATCGGTATTAAATATATATAAAAAAAGAAAGGTAACTTTATTTTTAGCGTAGGTAGAGAGAGAGGGGGGGGGGAGAAAGAGAGAGAGAGAACGTTTATTCGCTTCAGGCTATAATAAATATAATCATACTCGGATGCACGCAAAATGCTGTGCATTGTATTTTATAAAAATACAATTGTTTATGTTTTTCTAAATTTCTGTTGTTCTTTATTTGAATCTGCGGTTTATTTTTCAAATGGAATTTTATATTTTTGTATTTAGTGTTTTATTAACATTAATATTATAGCAGTATTATGTATAAATTAATACTATCCGCAATGTATATCTTTAATCTGGAAGAACAAATATATTCGATGTATATACGAGCATTGCGAAACTTTCGACTTTTCGATTTTATTTTGGACCATGCATTCGGATTAGCACACACCATCCATACAAAAGAATTTAATCGCTTGCACTTTCTAAATTACTTTTATTTTATATCTGTATTTGCAAATTGTTTCCTGTTATTAGAATTACATTTTCGACTGCAATATTCGAATCATTTTTACATTCCTCGTCTGATTTAATGTTTATTATTTAAATAGATGGCGCAATTTATATGACACTTCTAAATTATATTATATAATAAGCAAAGCGATTCTCTCAGAATCATTGTTCGTCATGTTTCATTTATCTTCTTTTTCTCGCAATATTCCTTGTTCATTTATTTATTGTAAAACATAACAATTTTAATCTAACAATTTAATTTAACAATTTTAAAATCTAAGCAAAGTAATATTTTCGATTTTTTTTTTAATCTGAAAAGAAGAAAAATTCTTATTTCGCCAAAAACAAATTTTTATTGAATATATATATATATATATATTGTAATATATAATAAATATTAATGTAATAATTTTTTTTATATATGTTAAGATAAATAAAATAAAATAAAATTTAGCAAGAAATAAAAATGTGCAAAGATTAAGCTCGATTGAACGGAGAAAATTGTTGCGCGAATTTACAGGTATTACGAGTGATGTGTTGATGTGATTCGCATGATTGGCATTATGCGATACACGTATCGTCTCGTCGGAGCTCGTCGCGCAATATGTCTCAGTTTGTAACGCGGATAAGACCGCATCTCCTTGATTAGGCTTTATTTCGTCCACCTACGGCACAACGGTGCGGATATTAAGATGAACAAGCGTAATACGCGTACACCGAGATCTGCTATAGTAATCGCACACATTTACGTTTCAAGCTTGTTTCAAAGAAAGATGTGTTAAGCATACCATCATGAACTTCTTGGGATATTTTTTCTTCCAAACATTGATTGTTTATCAATTGAAATTAAATTAAAAATATATAAGATTATTATTATTACTATCGTAAAATACGATCCCGCGCGATTAAATACGTCGGATAATTTTTTAATGCGACCAAGGGTTGACAAAATAAGTAGCTCGACATGCCACAAAATTTTTAAATCTTCTTGTCTCCGTTTGTTTCTTTGTTCCTTGTTTGTCGTACTTTTCTTTTCGGAGTGAAATCTTCTCTCCTCTCGGGCAAACGCAATTTTCCGCGCGAGCAGATGACGCAGATGAAGCGCGATCATCAAGATACAACTCTCGTGGACTCTTCGAAGAAATACTTAGGCGAAACAGTATTCGCAACTCTTTGCTGCTCCTCATATTGTTGTTGTTTCAAAGACTTCATCTACGTTGCGCCGTGTAAAATTTTCAAGGCGGCCAAAATTATTTCAACTACTCGAATATAAATATACGGAAATACATATATAATATTTTATAATTTATAACATATTTATGGAAAATTACGGAACTTATATTGGTCAAAACACTGGCAAGAAAATTATAATAAAAAAATAAAAATAATAATGAAACAGTTTAG